TTCCTATTTTTGCTCTGTTCACAGCACTGAAGGCGTTGTCCCTTGTGGTTGGAGCAGGCAGCGTTTTCCCATCCTAGGCTCTTGCTATCTGACTTGTGTTGGGCTTACAACTCACCTTATCCTGTCTGGTGTTAGTAACACCAGGCTCTGCTGGAGCCCAGGGACAGCCGAGGGGAGGGGTCCTGAATGTATCCCCCATGCCCCCAGACCCATTGTCCTGCTCCTTTGTGTCCCAGGAGCTCCGTGTCCCCAGCTCCAGCCCAGCTGCTGGGCTGGAGACTGCCACATTTTCTTTGGGAATAATACATGGATGACTTAGGGCTGTTCATCAAAGAAACCACTCATTCCATCAGGAATGGACACTCTATGGAATGTGTTCTTCATGCTGACATCTTAATATGCTTTCGTGCTCGGGCAGATTGCACAGGGCAGTCCAGTAATTAATATCCAGGGAGGTCTAATGGGCCTAAAGCAGTTGAAGTGACTCATCCTTATTTTGTCATTGTGCTGGTGGTGCTTTAGGTGACTTAGAAATGCAGGCAGCGCTCATGACCCAGCTCTGGTTTTGGATACACCCTTCGGGGTGTGAGAGGGGAGGAGAGAGTCTATTTTCTTCTGCTTGCCATTGTGAAGATTTTAAACGGTTCCCTCTCTCAGTGATTTCTGTGTGGCTTTGTGGTAACTCACCTTTCTGAAGTGGTGCTTCATATAGAGGAGAGGGTGAATTCTGTGGTGCTAAACTGTGATAAATGGGCTTTAATCAACAATTCATTTCACTTGCATTGAGTGATTTATTTGCAACAGTTCTTGCCACTAAGGATTTTGGGATGAAAGTGTAATTAAATTTCTTAAATTTTTTTTTATGATGCTGACTGGGTTTAGTTTCAGTGCCACAGTGTTTGGGACCTTTTAAGTAGGAAAGAAGCAGCAATGCTCTTCCTTATAACTATTAACTTGAATTGTCCCTGGAAATGCAGTAACTCCACTGGGTATGATCTGGGACAAAATGGCTTTTGTTGAGCCAGGGCTCCGAATTATTTGCAGTCCAAAAAAGGGAGAACAAGAGTTGAAATTCTGCATGGAGGCAGCTTTTGTTGGTTGATTTTTCAAATGCCATATTCAGTGTGTGAGGGCTCTGAGAAGGTTTGGCCAAGAGCTTTGAGCAAAGATCAAACAATGGGAAAGTGGAGGAGAGAGCAGGGATCACGTGACTGTGAGTAACCAGAGTGCGTAGAGAGCCAAAGTTCAGATGATATTACACAAAAATTACAGGGCACAAACATGTTGGCTCCTGGAGAAGAATGCACAAGGAAGCCAAGTGGTGTGTGTGGTGTGTAATGAGGAGTGTTTGCGTGCTGGAGGCTTGTCCTTGCTTCTCATGAAGTAGGAAAATATATTGAATTTCAGTGTGGTTATAAGGAAGCACCAATGCTGGAGCACTGGATGTAGCACAAAGAGCAATAAATGGTGCTTAAGTGGAAGCCTGTCATCTTACTTGTTCTGCTGTTCCAGGGTGGATGGAGAAGTGTCTCTGAGAAAGGGACAGTGCAGCACATCTTGGCTTACAAAGCAGAAGTGAGAGACCCTGATACAAGCAGCTGTAAAAGGGAGGGGCAGAGGATGAGTGGGAGGAGGGTGCTGCAGTCAGCCCCAAAATCCTTGTCCACAGGAGCACGTGGAAGCTTTGCCATTAGCTCCCAGGGCTGGGAATTTACTGCTTCTCTGTAAGTCATACAGGAAGGAGGTTTGGGAATAGGTTTTGAGTAGTGCCGGGTTCAATGCAGCTGTTATTTCACGTCCTGGTATCCATGGGGTTGAATCCAAGGGGTTGAATCCTTCCTTTCATATAAAGTTTCCTCTGAAGTGGGAAGCATCTCTCAAGTCTGTAGGAAGCATCTCTCAAGTCTGGAGAAGACACACTTCAAAATCATACTGAAACGTGGTCAGTGCTTGGGGTTTGTGTTTGCTAGAAATGTATTCTCAACAGATCCAGCATTTAGGGTTTAATTAATTTGATTTAAGTGTTAAAGTATTTTGTGTTCTTCTGATTCATTGTCTTAAGGTACAGCAAAACAGAAATGTTTTATGGATCAATGCACCAGGTTGTGGCTTGGAAAAGAGGGAAACAGATGGAATTCCCCCAACTTGTTCCTTAGCCAGTTCCAGAGACGAAGAAGCAAAGGAACAGATTGTGCTGCTTCCAGCTCCAAAAGGCCTGGGATCCCCATGAAGGCAAACAGCACTGTTGTGGCCATAGCCATAGAGCTATTTTTCTCTTACCTGATTAAACATCACTGGCCTGAACCCCCATAAATCCAACCTCACAATAACCATTGGATTGTCTGCTTGCCTTTTTCCGGGATGCGCTGCTTTATGGTGGAAGGGAAATTTTCCTTTATAATTTCTTCTAAATATTGATAAATAAAGAGCAGTCTCTGTGATGAGTATTGATTTTGGCTCTGTTTGGACACTTTGCTATTTTGAAGCCTTGGATTTCCAAGCCTGAAACACCCTCCTGACCCAGGAGCAGGCTGGCAGCATTCCCACGGGGCCTGTTCCCTGTGCCCCATCGCCTTTTTATGGCCAGGACCTACAGAGGCAGGCAGCACCTGCCTCTCTGGAAAGCTCCAGTTTCAGTATTGCAGCTGTTTGAACCAGGAACAAGTAGAGATCAAGTACATAATAAACCCCAAAGAATATGAATATATAAAATAGCCCCCAAAATACATGGAGTGGGTAGTGGTGGGATCGCTGGAACTTAGAGACAAAGGCTTTGTTTGATCTCTGATTCTCTGGCCGTGGCACAGGGAGTGCTCAGCCTTTTGCATAGTTTCAGGGAGGAGATGTTGTTTTAAGCACCGAAGAAGTGACTTGTGAAGCCTCAGAGCAGCAAGGTGTGCTGCCCTCGAACTGGGATTGACCCTTGCCTCGGTAAAAACAGCTTTCTGTGCCTTGGCAGGCAGCCCACCAGAGGAGCTGGGGAGTGGGCAGGAATATTTAGCTATTCCAGATAATTTAGTGGTGTGTGCTGAGCTACCTGCAGGCAGCGGGTGAAAGAGGAGGCGCAGGGACGTGTCTAGGTTAGTGCTGAGAGGGTTTCAGCTGTTGATTAACTGAGCATTATGTGAGTTTAATGTTTTAGTAGATGAAGTTTAGCAATGTGTTTTTGCCAGTGTTGGCAGTGTGTGCACTTCTGACTGTTCTGGTTCTTTTGTACACTATATTTTGGGAGGTTGGGGTGTCCCCCAGCCACTGAGGCAAGTTTTTGGTGTGTGCTGCTGGACTCCTCACACACAAAGTCTGTGCATCCACACCACGTTGTCTCTGAACTTTGTTAGCCTTCCAAAGCAGCTCAACGACTGCTTGTGCATAGTAAGTTTGCCTTCAGCTTGCTCCTTGAAGGCTGTCCAAAAAAAAAAAAAGAATGAGAGTGGATTGCTGCCTGCAGATTAAACCCCAGATTTGCTCTGGAGAGGCCACAGGAAAGATGATGCCCGGGAGCACAGCATGGCCAGGGTGAATTTGCCACCAGGGCCTGCAGATGATGGATGGGCTGGAAGTTGGGGCACCAGCATCAAAGCACCTTCTCTTGGCACCAGGTTTTAGTCAAGATGTTCCCTTGCAGATTTGCATTCCTGCTTAGGAACACTCCTTCCAGAGGATTTTTGGAGGCTGGTGCCTGGCTTGTAGTATTCCAACTGTCAGTCTGTTACAACTGCAGTTTGCTCTTTCGGGTGCTGGCTTCCATTAAAATTCTTGCAGAAGGAGAAGTTGGTATTGGTCAAAGGAGGAGGGTGACAACGTTTCTCTTGGCAGCAGTGTTGTGTGTTCCTTGCTCCAAGGGATTGTGGAGCTGGGATGCAAATAGAACCTGCCAGGGGTTTGGTGTGCACAGAGCAGCCAGAGGTTCCAGTGGTACTGCAGGGCCTGAGGGGGGAGTGGGGGATGGCAGCCAAGGCTTGGCACCTCCTGCAGTTTCTGTGACACTGAGCAGGGCCTGGGAATGTAGGAGAGCCCACTGAAACCACCCCCTTCAGTGGCTTTTGGCCTTATCCCAACTGCTGGAATCTCACTTCTTTTGCTTCCAAGTTTGCAGCTGGAAAGTCCGAGTGTTTCCTTTCCAGGTCTGTGCCAGTGACAGTGGATGTGTTACATCATGGACCTATTGAACAGCCAAAAGTGGTTCACCATGTTTGAAATGTCAGGAATTTGAGGTTTCAGAAACCTCAAATTATGGCAGAGCTGCAGTGGAGGTGTTTGCTTTTCCTGAAATGGCCCTTCACTGTTGTGTTCCAGCAGCAGCACTTGTTCTGGAGATCAAAGATTGCCATTGCCTTCCTAGCTCAGGGACCTACAGGCTCAGTATTCACCCAAAAACGTGGGAAGATGCAACTTTTGCAAGGGGGATGGTGGTCAGCTGGCAGGGGGCTGCTTCAGGTCGGGAATAAGGCTGTGTGGTGTGTTGGGGGATCACTTCCATGGACAGATCACTGTTCAGATTTGTAGGAAGGGCTGCTCCACACCATGGACCAGCACTGTGGGCACAGGGACAGGTTTCCTTTGGTACCACTGTTGGGTTTTGTTGGCTTAAGCTGTATGAAGTCATATGTGTCCCTCAAGCAAATTCCTGCTGCAGGGAAAGCCTTCTAGTGGTGGGGACATCCATTCCTGCTGCTCCTTGTCACGTGTGGTTTCCATGCTGGCACTGGTGCTTGTGCTCAGTGTTTTCGTAGACTTTCTAAGGAAAAAAATCGAGAAGCATTGTCATTATAAATGTTTGGTATTTTGCCAACTTTTAATAGTTTATGATTGTCATAAAATTGACTTATTTTTAGGGTTTTTTGTCCTTAAAACTGATACACTGAATTGAGCCTGTATTTAATAAGTTCATTTGTTAGCAAAATTATATGAAATATAACACTTTAACCAAACTTGTCTGTACACTAAACTGTTGGAAGTGTGTGCTGTGCTGTGGAGCTGACCCTGATTTTCTCTTGCAGGGCAATCACTTTGATCAGTATGAAGAGGGGCACCTGGAGATAGAGCAGGCGTCTCTAGACAAGCCCATCGAATCGGTAAGGCCCCCCCCGACCAGCAGCGTTCCCGGAATTCGGCCGTGTCGGATGGTCCTTGATGTGAATGCAGTCAAATCTGAGAGCAGTGGGCACCTTGTTGGCAGTGAGGGGTAATTGGTGGTAAACTGCATGCTGACATTAAGTGGGCCTGGGATTTAATCTTGAAGTAGTCCTAAAATGAAAACCTGAAATTTGAGTTCAACATGATATTTCAGGAATTATTTAAAATAATACATTTATTCATAGATACTTATTTTAAGGTTTTATACTTTTCTTTGAAGAATCAGTTTAATTTAAGTGTGAACCTGATGGAAGAGTATAGTGAAATACATTTTGATCCTTTTTAGTTTATATTTTTGGAAAAGTACTAGTGTTTTTAAAGTGTTAGAATGACACCTGGCGGTATGGAGACAGGGATCAGTGTTAGTCCAGCAGTCCTTCCCCATGGAGCTGAAGCTGCCCTGAGCCTTTCTCTAAAATTGCTTTACCTTGAGTTAGGTGTGAAGACTCCTGCTGTAAGATGGGGAAAAAATAGATTTTGTTTAGTTTTAATTTTTATCTTTTTGGAGCTTTTTAATTTTTGTCTTTGCAAAGCACCTTCTGCTGGTTTTAGGCACAGCAGCTTGTTCAGCTTAAACTGGACCCACATTTGGCATTTTGCTTTAGCTAAGTTTCATTTGCAGTTTCCTTCAGAAACAAGAAAACTTGTAGTGAATAATCAAGGGGCACTTAGTGGTGTTCTGATTAAGTGTAGATTTTTATTAAGAAAGTACTTGTCAGGTGTTTCTTTTGCCTATTAATTGAAGTTAAAGTTTCTCCACGTTAGTGAGCCCCTAGAAGAGCCAGTGTTAGCCAAAGCCCACTATATATTTTTGTTGGTGTGTAGGTTGGTGTTGTGTGTGTTTGTGTGCGTGTTAGATGTTTACCAAAAATTTACACAACTTGGGGTGTTCGACGTTTTTCTTCCGCAGCAGTTGGCCCATATTAGCTAAGCAGCCATGATCTGGTTTGTATTGCACGGTCTGCCTTTTTTAATTTCTTCTCTAGGGTTTCCTTTCCCCTTCTTATTTCTGTTCTTCTGGTCCAGTGAACACTGCATATAGTACCTACTGTCTTAATGTGCTGGCATGATGCTAGATTTAGGCATGGCAGTAATTGATGACGCATGAGATAATGCTGCAGAGATGGGAATTGGTATTCACTCTTCTCCTGAATACTTCAGTCTCACCTTGGGACACAGGGATTTGAATTAAAATGCCAAGCTGGATGGAAATAAAATGGGAAATACGTGTTGGTAGCCTTCTCTGGACCACACTGGAAATTAGCATTTCAAAATAATTCAGATGCTGCTTACAGACTATACTGGTTACCTGATTTCCAAAAGTGCTTTCCAAAGCAAGGAATAGAAGAGGTCACAGATTACATCTCTGGCGATCCAGAGGGAAGGATGCCTATGGAAGTGTGTAAAGCATGAGCAGATACCCTGGGCCCACGTGGGCTCACTGTGCAGATCTCATCCTCCACAGGAGTAATGCTTTGTGCAGTTTGATTAATGCTGAACTACAGCAGAAAAAATAAAATTACGGCTTTAATATTTTATTCTTGTCTCTCACTGTCCAAATGTCAGGACGTTTTTAATCTTTACAACTCCTTGGTAGGTACAGTTCAACCTAATTGAAAACAGTTGGATGAAGAAGACAAGAGAATGGCTTGTTTTATGAGGAGAAAGAGTTAAAACCTCAACTTGTTCTTTAAAATCAAGTTTGTTCCACTCTTCTTTTGTCTGAAATAAGAGAATCACAGAATCATTAAGGTTGGAAAAGCCCTCTAAGCTCATTGAGTGCATCCAGTCCCACAGCACTGCCAAGGCCACCCCTAACCCATGTCCTCAAATGCCACTTCTCCATGGCCTGTGAGCCTTCCGAGGATGGTGACTCCAGCTGTGCCAGTGTCCATCCCAGGATTTCAGAGCTGTGACTGCTGCACATGGGGTGGTTTTGGCCTGAGCAAGGGTGGTATCAGAGACTGCAGTCAGAAACAAACTGGTCACTTCTGAGGTTTCACATGGTCTTTGTAAAAATACATTGTTGATTCCTTAATTCCCCATCTGGGAAGCAGGAATTACTTTGTTGTGTTTCCTGACACCTGTGGAGGTGATTTTGCTTCCACACTATTAATGATCAGTGTGCTCTTTTAATTGGCACATTACACATTACCAGAAGGGACAGTTTCCTTGGCAGAATTCAGTGGGGTACCTTTGCTGCAAGATGTTTCACCAGGAAAGGAGGGTTCATTCTGCTCTTTTGGCTTTTTTTTTCCTTCTATTTTATGCTGTTTGCTCACCCAGAACCAAAATTGAGAGGGAAGGAGGAAAGGCAAATTGATGTTTTAGGACTACCACACATCTAAGTATTTTCAATATTAATGAATTGGGTTTTAATCCTTAACAAGTTCTCTGTTAACAATGCAACTGGCCTTTTCCAAGGAGTCTGCTCAGAGTCATGAGTGAGCCTGTGCTTCATGGTATGGAAGCAGTTTGGGTGATGACCACCCTGTGTTTATGACTGTGGCAGATCAAAGTGCTTCCCAGTTAAAATGTCATTCTTCAGAAAAAAGAGTGGATTTAGTATATTCTCATAAATGTGTTCCTTGCAGCTTCCCACATCTTAGTGACAGGAGGGTGCTCCAAAGCCTGCAGGTGTTTGGAGATGGGGGGAGTGTTTCCTGTGCCATGTCCCTGTGACAGTCCCCACTGATGTGACATCCATCTCTGCAGCATTATCTGTTGAGAGGTGCTGACTGTACTGCTACAGCATGCAACTCAAAGGTGGCTGGAAAAATAGGTTTGGGAGTCTACAGATCATTACAATGTTGAAACGTGTCCTCAATTAGCCTACTGGTGTTTTTGTTCCTGTGGAAATCCTGCTGTGTACAGCTCATTTAGGCCAAAGATGTCTGCTCTGAAACATGGGACTCTAACCAGAGTACGTTTATGGAAAACAGAGCTGCCAGGAGCTAGGGATGGACGTGGCCTGAACAAGTGCCAGCTGTTTTCTATTACTAAATTGAAGAAAGTATTTCATATCAATGGACTCTTCAGAGCTACAAATACTGGTATTTTTTCCCCCCCCACAAGTAATATTTTTTCTTGTTGTGCTTTGAAAGATGCTGCACTTACACTGGCTGTTCATGTCAGTGCAATCACTGGTGTCCTTGAAAAATCAGAGCACTTCACCCTTTTTTCTAAACTCAAGAAGCTGCATGCATTTGTTTGGGGGCATTTTGAGTTCACTGAGTTCAGGTACTTGAATGGGAAGTCACAAATTATTGCAGCTTTAATAGAATCCAGATTTTCTTCACATTAATTCCTTATCTCTACTTGTTTATTGAGTCTCTTTGCTGTGAATTCCTGGTTTTCCTCATCCCAGCAGTGCAGATGGAGTAGGAGACAGCCCTTAGAGCCCCCAAGAAGCAGCCCTGGCCCCGTGCAGGCAGTGTCAGGGGTGGACCCACGCCGTCACCGCTGCAGGTTGGAGGCCAGACTGGGAATCACCCACTTATCCTGGAGCTTGTTAGTTTGTCCTTGTCCTGACTAACAAATGTCCTTTCCCCTCTCTCTAATGCTGCTCGGTGCCATGAGGGGCGCCTTGAGCCCCCGTGTCAGGCTGCAGTCGGTGGTGCTTGGACACCAGGGGCTGGCACAGCCTGGCCGAGCCGGGCTGTGGCACTGCAAATCTGTACAGATCTGTGGACTCCACTAGTTCCAAAGTGTCATTTGATGAGGCTGCTGATTTGACATTTAGTAGCAGCCATATGTGGACAGCGCTATAAATAATGTGCTTCTGGAAGCTGAATGGTGTAGCATTACTATTTGGCTTTTCTCTCTGGTCTTCATTGTGTCATCTGTAGTGAGCTCTAGGTTTTGTTTTGGGAATCTTTTCAACCTCTTGTTTGCATGGGTTCACCCAGTAGCATCTGATCCTTGCTTATAGATTCCTCCATACACAGTCAGCACAGCTTACAATCCACTCAAGAGAGGAATGGTTCCTGCCCGAGCTGGGATGAGTGATGGGATCGTGGGAATCTCATGGAAAACCTGTGCTAGGCAAAACTGCTAATGTGGGTTACATCCCACAGGCATCATCAAAACCTTGGACTTCTACCTATCTTATAATTGTAAGCAATTTCTTTTTTGATTGGCCAGGACCTTTATCAGAAATTTGTGCTGGGGATGTCCTGCTCAGGAATCACTGATCTGCATGGAAGGCAAGCAAGGGCACAGGATGGGGATCTGAGAGGCCAGTTAGAGCTGCTGGAGCCCAGTCACTTTGGATGAGGTTTTTCCAAAGCAGCTTACCCAGCTCTGGTAAAGGTCTGGTAGACCCAAGGCCTTGCATTTCCTACACCTTTGGAGAAGTTCTGCTTTGTCATTAGAGCAGAGCTCTCCATCAGTGCTGCCCTGCTCCAGAGCTGGCATTGTCCCACCCAGAGCTGCCAAGCCCTTTTCCCTGCATGGAGCATCCCACAGCCTGTGCCCACGTGGTCCAGGAGAGCTCCCTTGCTCACTCAGACACCTTTTGGGAGACTTACTTTGGCTGCGTCAATAATTTTTATTGTGGCTGTAATACAAGGAGCTCCCAAAGTGGCAGAGGAAGAAAATGAGGAGACTCATGCCAGCCCTCTTCTGAGAAATGAGAGGTGTCCTCCTAGGGCTGTGGTGTTTCTGTGGATCACTGCAGCTCTTCTGTAGGAAAGCTGCTGCAGTGTGGGGATAGTCTGTTCAACAGGAGTGACCGCTCATGACATGGGCAGGAAGCTTGCTGTGAAAAGCCCCATCTCTTCTATATGAAAGTAGCTGTACTTTACAGAACTTTCACTTCAAACTGCATTAAAAAAAAAAAGCTGTCAGCTGTTACAACATTTGTTGTCCCATGTCACAGTTTGGTCCCAATATCCCTGGTTACTCCCTAGAGAGCAGACAGGCTCTCACATGGGATTAAGCGAGCCTGACCTTCCCTTATTTAATTTTTAGGGCAGGATTTGCACTGAAGAGCAGTTCTGTCAGTCTGCCTGCATCAGAGGTCTGGGTTAGCCATTGGAAAAAGAGGGAGGAGCTGAACGTGGCCAGAAAGGACCAAAGTGATGGCCAGGTCTCAACTCAAATGTTAATTCTAAATTGTTAGAGTTGTTCTCCTTATTCAGTTCAACAGAAGATGCTCCATTTCAATTGAGTAGGATCTGAAATTAGGGAGTAGTCCCACTGCATAAACAAACAAATGGAAAAGTTTGGGGGGGGGGAGTGGAACAACCCCTTCCTGGGAACTGAGACAAGGCAATGTTCAGGCATGATTCCAATTTATGTCAAACAACTCGGGACCATCCTCTTGAGTGGGTCTGTAAAAGTGGTGCTAATGTGTATAACCTTTCTAAATTTTTCTTTTTCCCTTTAACATTTGTTTCCCCTTTCACTGTCAGTCACAACACACCGCTCTTGAATCTCCCAGCTGGTCTTGACTTGTTGAATTTATTTTATGCTTTCACTCTTCTTTAATAAATACATTACTTGCAAGCAGTGAATTGAAAACAAAGCAAAAGAAAAAAACTACCATTAGTGATTGGACAGTTTCTTACTTTGTGTTACATTTAACTGTTCTTTTGACAGCCCAGTTTTTAAAGCCAGGTTCGTATGGAAATGCTTTCACTCCACTTGCACTGCTTTTGGAATAGCGTTCTGCTTCATCTGTCTTTATTTTAGTGCATTCATAACACACACAGTCAGCACAATGTCTCATCTCCCTTTGGCCAAGACTGCAAAGTACTCCTTGTCCTTTGAATTCTTTTGCTTTCTCTTTTTTTTTCTTTTTTTTTTTTTTTTTTCCTTTTGGAAAACGCAGCCATTTTTGTCAGCACCAACTTTTAGATTTAATGATCCTTTGTCAGGGTAGGGCAATTAGTGCCTTATCCCAAACATATTCCAAGCTGCAGCCCCTCTGTGCCAGGATGGGGCACTCTGTGGCCCTTGGGATTGGCTGCCCAGGTGTGCCTGCAGGTAAGTGTTCCTGTCTTCCCAACAGAGAGCCTTCTCCATGGTGCCTGTGGTGGGGATCCATCCCTGTTTGTTTTTCTTTGGTGGTTTTTTTTCTTTTTTTTTTTTTTTTTTTTTTAATTTTTTTAAAAAAAATTTTTTTAATTTGACCTTTTATCCCCAGAAGTTTCCTTATGTCTCCTGGTTTAATTTTTTTTTCTGTGTAGCCCTAATTATGTCCTGGGGCAGAGCCAGAAGTGTGGGAAAAATGTACATTATTCCTTGGGAAATACAGGAATACAAAATGTCTGACTTCACTAGGATATCAGAAAAAAAAATCCAAAATTTGTACTTGATAACATCTTTTTGAGGAAAAATGTATCCATGCAGCCAATATCTTTGGGAAAGTTGTGCCTTTCAAGCTGATTCACCAAAGTTGTGCAAACCCTGTGGTCATTTTCTTCGCTGTGGAGTGACAAAACATACTCTGGTTTCTGTTGATGACTGTTATTTAATTAAAGAAACCTGCAGCATATAGATGGAATTATTTTTTGGATTTCATGTACCACTCAGTGTTCTGGAGTCACATCCTGTTACAATTCAGGATGTTTCTGTGATACTTTGGGTTGTGATTTGCCTGATGATAATTAATAATCAACAAGTTCATATCTGATTTTTATTTTTTGTGGTTGGAAGGTGAACATGGTCCCAGCCAAGAGTCCTTCTCTGAGGAGCTGGTCACTGCCTGTAACTGGGTGAACTGGTCACTGAGGGCGAGCTGGCACACTGAGGTGGTTCGAGGGCGCTGTGAGTGCTCTGCTCTTTGTCTGGGGGCAGAAACCTTGCATAAAACACAACAATTTCCACACTGAGCCCTGCTCAGCCCCATTGCCAAAGCTGACACTTAATTGCTGCGTCAGTACTTTTCCAGTTATTCCAAAATAGCTTTTTTTTTTTTAGGAAGATGAGACATTATGCTTATTGTTTCCCCTACATGCACTAATGGTTCCTTGCTGTTAACTTATTGCTAGGCCTGTTTCATTCTAACATCTTAGTATTTTTGTTAGTTTACATGTGAAATGCATCACCCAGTCTGTGCTTGAGCTCATTTTATTTAATTGATTTTTTTTTTGTTTTACTAACCTCACTGTTTTTTCAGTTTAATATTGGCTGCATGCTAGTTTATATATATATATACATATATAAAAAAAACCCAATCAAGTCTAGCCTGGATTTTGCTCTGATTGTGTTTTGGTTTCTAGTGGTGGGGCAGTCTTGCACTTACAACTTACTCAGTATTATAAAAGCCTGACACACAAACAAAATGACTAAACACATTGTAGATTTTCTTTACCAAAAAAATCTTAAGTGGTGCTGTCTAGGTGATGGATATGATTGTATAAATAGCTTGATTTTATGCTTTTTACTGTCAATTTTTATTGGTACACTTTATTTTCTTCCACATTGCTTTTTAGTTTTATTATTTTTTTATTTCTTTTAAACGTGATGCACAAAAGTTGCCCAGCACACCATCAGAAAGTGACCGTCCCCAATACCCATCCCCCTGGAAAAATTCTAGCCAGCAATTTTTGACATTTGTCTTTCCCTTTATTGGGCATATATTGCCTTTTCAGTAGCATTTTTTTGCATGCATATATATGTAGAAAAATCTCTTGCTCATCACATGTTTAAATGTCAGCGGGAAGGGAAGAATATATTATTGGAATATTTTTGGTTTGTTTTCTCTGTTCTGTCTGTCAGGATAATATTGGACATCGCTTACTCCAGAAACATGGGTGGAAGCTGGGCCAGGGATTGGGAAAGTCACTGCAGGGTAAGTCCAGTCCCTTGTGTCTGAAACCTTCAATTCCAGCCTCGGTCTTTAACAAAATTATTTCTGCTTTTTGTTCCTAGATTAGATTTTCTTTCCATTATTAATATATCCAAACAATTGCGCTGTTGAGTTTGGTATTTGGCAGTTTGCAAGTGGAAGCTGCAGCCTCCCTTTGTTGGTACAGGTTAGAGCTGTGTGTGTGGTGGATGTGTGAGAGTCAGCGTGGAGGAAGGAGGATTCACTTTCCACACTGACAGGGAGTGGTGCAGTTTCCAACTATGCTGGTGTTTTGGTGTTAAAAGAATTAAAGATTTGAGGTAGTTCCCATGACCTGTTATTGCTCACCGGGCTCAGAAGCCATTAGAAGGCCAGGAAAGGGCCCACTGAAGATGGAAAGTGGTGGCAGAGGTTCTCTGGATGGGAGAGGCTCACTCCTGGTTTCTCCACAGGACTGTCGCAGGTTGGACTTATTCCTGTTCCCAGCAGTTTGTCAGGGATTAGCAAATCTCACTGGCACACCAAAGTGCTGGTTGGCCCAGCACACACCAGACCTTGCTGTCTTGAGCCTGAATTCTTCCTGCGACACTAAACCCCATTTCTGTAGAAACCTGTGGAAGTGTTTGAGGCTCAGGTGTGCCCTGAGCCCTCAGTAACTCACTCATGTTCCCATGCCTGTAGTCTGAAGATCTGAGAGCTTGTAATCCATGTTCCATGAGTGAGCCCCCTTAGACATGGGGGTGTCTGTGCTGTGGAGGCTTGTGAAGAGGTAATGAGTTCTCCAAACTCTGGGAATGCTTATTAATCCCTGGACTAAGCTCTCTAACCTCTCAGGCAGGACTGCCTTGCAGGTTAATGATTCTGGATTCCTCTAATGTGATTTCAGTGGAGTTCTCAGGTTGATGCATGGCACTGTCCAGTCCTCTCATGTCCCTGCTGGGGCCAGACCTCAGGTGGAGTTGTGGCTGTTACCTCTGGGCCTTTCCTCTGGGACATGGGATGTGCATCACAGGCTGGAACTCAGTGTTTTCTCTTTTGGGTGCCCTGTATTTCTCTGTGTGTCACCAGTGTGGAAACACAGAGGCTTGAAAGAAGGAAGAGCCTTGTCCCAGCCCCGGGTAGATCCCAAAACACAGCCCAAGGGCTCAGAGTGCTTCAGGCTCAGATGTGATGGAGTGAGCATGGATTATGGGGCTAGGTCTGGAGTCGGGGCAGGGGGTGGTGGTGTCACCATGTCCCATGGGCCGAACAGGAATTTGCACTTTGAGTCTTGTCCAGATTTAGATGTTCCCCCTGTGCCTCTCACTGTGCTGGAGCTGTTCCAGATCTCTCACACACCATTGGAGCTCTGCTGGTTGGGAGCAAATTGTGGATGTGGGCTCTGAGGGCTTTCCTGTGCTTCCTGCTTGTTCACAGGAATACAGGAGTGAAAATAACACACCAATTTAACCCAGTTCAGTACTGAAGCCTTCCTAATGTAGGCTTTGGAGCATGTGCAGGAATTTCAGCGTTTTTGGGAGGTAGAAGTGCCTTGTCCACCTGCCAGCCAACTTCTCCAGAGGTCTGGGCAGGCAGAGGATGTGGAAGGGAGGCTGCTGCTGCTCCAGCTTTTCTCCTCTGAGTTCTCAGCAGCCAGAGCCCATGCCTGTGGCATTGGTGATGGTTGTGTTGGGAGTGTTTAATTCATTATCCAGTGACCTTTCTACATGAATCTTAGATTGGCCCAAAAATCCAAATATAAAATGTCAGGAAGGAAGCATTTGCATCCAATTTTAATCTTATTCTAAGAGTTTGAAGAGTAAAGTCATTTAATGTGCAGTGAGAAGGGAGGAGCAGAACAGAAGTTCTTCCCATCTTCCACACTCCCTTGTTCAGGAAAGACCAGGAGAGGTTTCTAAAGAGATGTAGGTGTGTTCCTGTTAAATTCTTCCTGCTTGACACTGCTTGAGCTAAAATCTTGCACAGCCTGTGGTGAGGAGGTGCAGCAGAAACAGAACCCCTTCAAGCAGCCTTGAGCTGTGAGTGTGGTTCTGACCTCCTGCAGAAGGTCCTTACATCAAACTCAAAAATTTTGGGTTGCACATATGGAATTGATACTGCATTCAGCTACTTTCTGCGCACTTCAGCTTAAAAGCAAGTGGATGAGTTCAGCGTGCTGAGTTTTGTGGTGTTGCTTTTAATTCTAGATCTTCGTCTGAGTTTGGGCTCCCTCTTTAGTTCTCTTGAATCCCAAAGTGATGCTGTGTTACATTTCTGCCTGGCAGATGTTTCTTTCTTGTAGTCTTGTGGTGTTGTTCGGCAAGAACCTCACACTGCAGGACTTTACCCTGTGATGGTTCCTTCATTCTGACCACCCACTGGGGATGGAGTCCAGTGGTGAGAGTGCTGAGCTGTCTCTGGGTGGTACCTGCAGCAGTCTAAAATCTACCCTTGCCAGTTGCTGGTGGTAAAAATCTGCTGGTGTGGTGCACCGTGGCTCATTCTCAGGAAAATTCCAGTGGGGGGGGGGGGGGGGGCGTTTTGTACCCCCTGGGGCAGCTGCCTTGTGGTGTAAATCTTGTTACTGAGAAAAGCTGAGCCCTTGGGTAGGGAAGCACAGAGCCCATGCCCTGAGTGATGTGGCTGTCACCAGCAGTGTTCTGGCTGAAACCTCTGCATCTTTCACTGAATTTGGGCTGTGTGCTGAGTGGGGCATCAGGCAGGAACAGTGCTGTCAACTCTGACCATGCCAGTGCTGGAGTCCTGCTTCAGGGATACTCGTAAGGAATTCAGCAGAGTCATCCTTCAGCTCATCTCTTTCCCTGATGTTTTTCATAATTTTTTCCCCACAAATAACTTGTGTTATATTTGGAAACGGTGCTTCAGCTTGCTAAAAGCCAGTGAATATGAAAAAGCAGGAGAGGGGGCTGCCAGTTGACAGGGATCTTTTTTAATTTGGGAAATATGGCTTAGGGAGCCACTTTTCCATAGAGATATGGGATGGTTGCGCTCTGATAAGTGAGAAAATGGTGATTGTAGTCTGTTTTGTCTTTGGGGGAATGCCTGTAGTTGATAATCCAGAATTTTGTGGTCTCCTGGAGAAATGAAACTAGCAAAAGATCAGTTAAAAGCATTGCCTGACCTTCGTGTGAAGTCCTGTGCTAAATGAGCCCAAGGATTGTGAATAAATCAGGAGTTACATAAGTCAGGAGGGGAATGAGAGGCTGAGGGAAATCTGAATTCAACCACACTCTAATGATTTCTCTTGGAATGAGTATTTCCCATTAAGTTAAAGTAGTATTATGAAAAGCCAGGAGACTGACGTGCAGAAGTGGGATAATTTGATTCGTACATTTGAAAATATTTTTATAAGCTCTTTGCCTTTTCCCTGTCAATTTTTTTGACAAGTCTTGTTTGAAAAAAATAATTGTGCTGAAAATTTCTGGATTTTATTTTTCTTTTGTGTTTAGTATGAAGTAATAGTACTCTAGAGGTATATCTGCAAGACTGAAACCAGTAGTTTAATCTCATTTAATTAGACCAGGGGAAACTGAGTAGGTTGTCCTGCTGCTTCCTGGGTCATAGCAGGGCCTGGGGAGGGTGGGCTGCTCTGCAGGGAGGATTTGGAGAGGGCAGGAGGAAGGTTTGATGTTTACTGGCCATATGGAGGGGGCTCTGAGGAAGGATTGACCAGCTCTGGTGGACAGGTCCAGCTCATCCCTAGCCAGTCTGGGTAACAACTGTATTCAACACAGATTTGCCTCTCTAAAGTTCTCTGTTGGAAACATTCTTGCCTGGTATCAGCATTGACCCTTTAAAAACAGCCCTATAGAAGCAGTTACAAGTTCCCCTACGCCACAAACTGTGTCCTGTGTGATTAATTTGTTATGTTTTAAGGCATTGGTTTCCTGCACATTCCCACAGTAGTCCCAAGACCAAGATTATCCTGATCTTTTGTGGTATCTCTGAGAGGTGAATCCCAATGTAGTACTTTGCTATGGCAACAGAAATCACACAATTTGTCATGGCAGAGCTGCTCCCCAGTGTCTCAGCTGTGAATCAAACAGCTCAGGTAACTGGGGGCTCAGTGTAGCTCTGGAATTCCTGTGGTTGCTCCTCAAGGGCTCAGGCAGCTCATTCAGTGCTTGGTTATTGTCATGAAAATGCTCAGAGTGAAACCAAAAGGAGTCTCAAGGTGGGTGGCTGCTGGTTTGTGCTGGGACTTGGATTATCTCCAGTGCTCAGGAAATAGAAGCAGCAGGTGGTTCTGTTTAGGGCAGGGACGTCCCTTTTGGGGCAGGTCCTTGCAGTGGCAGGAACGTTCCCTGTAGCCTTTGATCCTGAACAAACACCTTCTCTCCCCTGCTTCCTCTGCCTATTTAGTAATATCTTCCTTCATGTTTGCTTATGTTTTTAGCCAAGTTTTGGCATCATTTCAGTGTAACTGTTCTGGAAGAGCTTCTTCCATCTCCCTGGGGAGCAGCTCTGCTGATGTAACGCTGCGAGGAGAGGGCAGGGCCGTGCCTGTGTCTCTCTTGGCAGTGCCATGCAGGGCTGGGGGCCCTTCCTGCATCCTTGTTCCCTTCCAGTCAGGCTGAAAGCAATACACCTGCACAGACTGTCAGAGCATTGCTGTTCCTGTTGACCAAGGTGTGCCCCACACTGATTGTGTAAATCATCCTGGTCATATAGGGAGCAGCAGTTAATAGAAAGTGCTTTGGGTTTATTTTATCCTTTCATGAGTACATCCAGCTAGGTAGCAAAGTCAGGTATAGCAAATTTGTTAGCAAATGGTAAAATCCAGTTCTTCCATCAAGCTGTATTTTTGTTGCATGGTTTTCAATTAAAAGAAAAAGCACAAGTAGACTTGTGCTCTGATTTGCAAATTCTGTGAGGATAAATATAGTCAGCACTTCCCCCCTCAGCATCGCTATGGTGCAGTTCTTTGGCACATTCCTCCCCAAATCTGTTCAGAAAAGGGAAAACATTCCCTCTTGGTCCAAGGGCTGAGCAGGGTGGAAGAG